TCAACTCGTGGTGTGAAGAAATGCAAATTCGGCGCCGGTTCTCGAGTGTAGCTCATCCCCAGGCTAATGGCCAAGCAGAATCGATTAAAAGAACCATCTTGCATGGATTCAAGACCAAGCTACATGATGCCAAAGAAGCTTGGGCCGAGGAACTTTCTCACGTCCTGTGGTCATATCGCACTACTGTCCACTCCTTGACAGGTGAAACTCCCTATAATTTGGTCTATGGCATGAATGCGGTTCTCCCAGTCGAAATAGGCTTGGCAAGTCCTCAGACTATCAACTTTGTTGAGAGCACTAATGATGATGATATCAGGCTGAACCTTTACATGCTCGAGGAGCGGCGGGATGCTGTAAGGATCAAGGAGGCAAAGTACAAGGAGATCCTCAGGAAACATTATAATAAGTGAGTCAAGGCAACAGACCTCGCAGTGGCGGATCTTGTGCTTAGGAAAAATGAGGCCAGTCGAGCCGAGACTCCTGGGAAACTTACTGCAAATTGGGTAGGATTGTAAAAGGTCATTCAAGCCTCTCCATCAGGCAACTACCACCTACAAACCACAGATGATAGCGGAACCATTCTCCCTCGATGGTGGAACATTCAGAACCACCGCAGGTTCTATGTTTATGCTTTTACTTGCTGCACACTAGTTAGGGTTATTTGCCTTATTTGCCCTATTTTCTTTATTTGCTTTACTGCTTTTACTTCCTCATATGTAATGCTAACCCGAGTCCTTGGATGATTATTCAATAAAAAGTCATTGCATATTTTCTTACATTGTCGACGTTATATTGAGACTAGTCCTTGAGGTGGACTTTCTCTTTAGGGCCATCCTCGTTCAGAGTCGTGTATTCAATATCCGGACCAAAAAACTGAGGAATTCCACTCTTACCCGCCGCAGATTGCGGTAACAAATTGAGGAACTTGTACCCAGTTCTCTCGAGAAAGCCGTGTACTTAACATTTGGCTGAAAAGCGCTATATAAATAAACAAACTCGAGTCTCCTAAAGCGATAATACATTTGCTACCTTCACACACTATGCGAGGTTGTGCAAAATATATATGTTTTTCTACGATATTACAAGGATTTCCATGCTAGGGTTATCAGGGGACGGATGGATAATGGCCTTAAACCCATGCAGGCTAAGAAGGTTTACGTACTGATTGAACTTATCCTTGAGATCTATAATCTCCTCGTCCTGAGTATGAACCCTTCAAAGTAGTTCATCTCGAGAGCTCTTGGTTCTAGGATCTACCACCTCTTCGAGCTTCTCGAAAGATGAGAAGATGATGTTGTGATCCAACAGTAAGTTCTGGAGCTCGCTTATGTATTTCATTAGGGGATCGATTTCGCAAGTTATTTCCTTCAGCATGTCCATCGCCGAAATAAATCGACGCGTTCCTATCGAGATCATGTGCTGCACTCGAGCAAGAACTTGATGCTTCTCGAGAAACCATGGTGACACAGTAATCCGTTGGCTCTGTTTCAGCCGGGCATTTTATTTTTCCAAGGCAACCAGTTCATCATGGATTTCCGTCTCGAAAGTCAGAGAATCACTGAAGTCTTTATCTTTCAGGCCTCATCATCTTCTTCCTCGAGCTCGATGCCGATATACTCGTCCGGCACCTGAGGGATTGGCTCCTCCTCACTTGGGCCCTTGGACAAGACTGTTGCAGGATCACCACGAAACATGTTGATATCCTCAAGAGTACCCATCTTGATGTGAGCTTAGCATAAAGACTCCCATAAGGGCAGCTGCTCGCTACTAAGCTTAGTAAGAACCTTTACCAACGCCTCATGCATGGTCTTCTACGGGCTCTCCTTCAGGAACTATTTGAACCACTTGGCCTTGATGGGTCTGTCCCCGTTGAGCCTCTTGAGGCCTATAACAGCTACTTTATGAGCTCCATACTCTATGGCAGCCAAATTAACCTCCTCGATAGATGCTGCCATGCGACCTGAAGATAGCATCCTGAACCAGAAAGCAGCACACCATTTGTGGAGGTCCTCCCTCGAGATATGTAGATTCGCAAAGGCCTTTAGCTTATCGTCCAGCTCATTATACATAGCCTGCACAGAGGCTAACTCCTGCTCTCTGGCCTGTACCTGCTGATTCCCCTTCTCGAGAGCGGCCTTCCTGACAAGCGCTTGGTCCCTCTTGATCCAAGTCTGGACCAACTCCTCCTTTAAATTCCTTAAGTGCATCAAGTAGGCCATCGAGGCTGCACTCATCTACAAAACTCATTGAATGACACAAAACTCGTCTACAACAGATTCGCAAGAATATTCTGATGTAATATATAGAACTTACCAGTCTCACACTGTCGGCCTCTGTTAGCTGTGTGGCAAACTCATCTAGCAAGGGGCATTCAATGGCCAAAGGATCGCTGAATGTGTGGACTGTTATAGTTGGTCCTCCCTCGAACATATGGGAGTGCAAAATGATTGCTTCCCCCTCGAGGGGACCCTTACCTTTGTCCATGGCAGGTGCTTTGTTGCTCGGGTCTACCTCCACTTGGGGAACGGTGGCCTTCTCGATTGCAAGGGGAACATTGGTCTTCTCCATCGCAGGAGGAACGATCCTCTGTCCTTAAACTGTTGACTTCAAGGCGACGACGTCCGCCTTCTTTTTCTTTTCCTTCTCAGAGCCTTTCACGAATCTCTTCCTTTTCTTCTTGGCTCTGGCGGCTTTAGTGGTTGACTCTTTTTCAACTGAATTCACAATAGGAAAGGATTCTTCGTCACCATACAGTCGAGAACCAGCATTGCTCGATGACATAACCTTAAAACAGCAAAAGTAATAAACAGAGATTAGTACCTTTTTCCTCCTCGACAAGGACATTAGTACCTTTTTCCTTCTCGACGGGGATTGGGGAATGCAGTGCTACACTTTACTTCATTTAATGAGTTTTGGATACTTCAAGATTTTCTGCAGATCATCGTCAAACTCCTCTACGCTCTCATCACCTTCATTAGTCCTATCATCCTTTATCGCCCCAAGACCTTCTGCTTCTCGATGGTTCCATGACAAACAATAATTCTCAGAAGCCTTCACAAACAGATAGTCTGGCTTCCATTCAGGCGATCCGCCATACGCCTCGACAATCTTCTTGATACCCGATCTTGGACGTTTTTTACAATATACCAATCTTGGAATGATGTCGAGGGAACAACAACTTGGAAGAAATATCTCCACAGAATCAGTTGGGGCTTCACCTTTACTCGTTCACAAATTCTTGCAAACCCAAGCACAAATGTTATCAAGTTTGGTGTAAAACGAGCAAGTGGAGTTTTGTAATGTTGAATAATTTCCTCGAACAGGGAGAAGAGGGGGGAATCTTAGCCCTAGATACATAAAGCGGCCATATATGGTGATTCTCCCCTTTGAAGGAGAATTGGCTCTCTCGGTCTCTACGGGGGCTTTCATGTCTAACTCCACAGGAAGGTCATATCTCGTTCTGACTGCATTTACCCTATCATCAAAATTAATGGTTGAAGCAAAATCTTGAACAATTTTCAGATATGGGTTTCTGGTAGCCATACCTATCACAATTTGAAACGACGAATCTAGATCTACTCTGGTCTGAACATCAATTTGAAAAGAAAACATCCGAAAATGAAACTAAAATGGATGAATATGAGAACTTACTATCGGAAGAGGTCTCCACTGGCCTTTTGAATTGTAGCCTCCCAGGGTTACAGCAATCCAGTGACAAGTAGCTCCTCAAAATCATCTGAATCGTCACACCAATCACGATGCGGCAGTCAAACAGGTAGCTGACGATGCAGTTGAGAAACCTTTCTTCAAGCGCTGCGTCTCTCGATTCGATGGAAAACAGATACTTCCAACAATATAAACTGCACGATAGCAACAGGATGGTTGTTTGAGTGTTTTTTAGAAAAGTGAATGTCAAATCTGAATTCTCTCCCAAAGGATATAAAAGCAGGCTCAATCACCCACGTTCCTGCCGTTAGAGTGAGAATCGAGGCAATTATAATTATGTTCGCCACCGTTTGGAGAACGTGCCCACTAAAGACGCACGGGTTGACAGTTTGGGTTGGATTTTGAAGGGGGTCGCCTTCTCGGATCGGATCCTGACCCGCGAACTTTTCCAACCGGCCTCCTCGGTGTACATTGGGCTGAAAGTTGCCCATTCCATTTGGGTGGAGTCCGGGTATTATTTATTTTGTGTCAAATCTTATTTATTTCATACAACTAACACTTGACAAGGGCACCTTATGAGTCCATATCCGCTAAGGATTACCAGACCGGCCCACCCACCAATTGTGGTCCAACCGACCTTACAGAGGCGATCCCGGAACATAAAACCTAGTAGGATTCGACATCCCTCAAGAGAGTTCCATGCCTATAAATAGGGTTGATCACATCACAATACGAGTACACTATCTCTAGCACAAAACACTACTCATATACGTTCCTTAAACTTTTCTACTGACTTAAACATCGGAGTGTCTACCCTCGGGAGACCCCCGAGGACTTCTTTTGCAGGAAACCTTTGCCGGAGTTCCACTACCAAGTTGACAGTACAATTCCAGGCTTCGTCACGATTCATTTTGAATCCTAACGTTAAAAATCCCTTTGTAAGAACTCTAATAATTTATGTTTGTATAGGCGCATCGTGAGAAATTCACCAATAGGGTAGTTAAAACACCCCACAAACAGAAAAACTCTATGTACACATGCACCTAGAGAAATGGAAGTATGACATAAACATCCACTTGGTAAGATTGAGAACGTATTTAAACACTACGTTTAGTCAAGACTTCAAACAAAATAACCTGCAAAAAGTTTGAGAAGGCAGTCTTAGAAATGACGCATATAAGGAAGTGGTCTGGTAGGAACCAAAATAGTTTTTGCCAAAAATTTCTTATCAAACACAAAAAGCACAAAAGAGTTAAAAAGAAAAAAGACCCATTGAAAAGCAAACCAGAAGTAAACATATCAGTCAACCAACATGATCACATAAATCAGGAGCCCTCTCCAGGAGAGACGGAACTAGATGAAAGAAATTGTTTGAGAGCATCCTTAAGATTGTTGCAAGCAAAATCAGCCATAGAAACGATAGGTGACAACAAATCGAACTCTTCCTTTTCAGAAGCATGAGAAGATTGAAGAGATTCTAATTCAGTTAAGGCTTCCTCTGCAGCCTTACGAGTAGAAAGACGCTGCTGCTCTAGCTCTTTTTCCTGACTATGCAACTACTCTAACTCTAGTTCCAACTCGGCCTTCCTTCGAGTGACATTACGAAAATCTTCATTGAGTTGCTTCAATTCGCCTCCTAATCCCTCAACCTTCTTATCTACTGTCCCAATCTGCTCAATGAGGTCGAGATAATCATCTACCTTAGGCTTGTAGGCCATGTAGGCTATACAATTTTGCACAAAATGTTGTTGAAAGGATGCAAGTGCTTTTTCAATATCATTGTCTGGGGGGTTGTTCAGGAGGGTTGCCACAATGCTTCCTACTTTGTTTGCATTTGTGCCATAAATTTCGGTTGGACACCAAGAAAGGATTTCATTAGCCTGACGCAAAGCCGAATCGAAGGACATTATTTTACCACAATTGGACTTAATGCAGGAAGCGAAGTTCCGAATTCTACTGCTCCTCGAATCTTCACTTCGACTCAGTAAATCGTTGAATGATTTCTCAGAGTAAGCTACAGGGGACTCAGTCATGGGGATTACATGATCTTTAATTGATTTGGTACCATCCTCCGGAAACTCATTCATGGTGTCCTGTTATCGAAATAAGATGGTGTACTCAAAGTAATATTGGGTAAACACTGTTAGAAATTGGCAGGAAAATAAAAAGAGGACCATTTGAAACAAACCTTGGATGTTAGATCCAACATAGCTATATTTTCCACATTAACCTTTCTGGAAGACCTTGTTGCACTCTTAGGGACAATCTTAAAGAAAAGAGCAATATCATTCTATGTAGCAGCATCATATGGACCTAACTAAGCATTCTGAAATACGATGAAATTGAGCAACTATGAAATAAATTTATTACTCACAGTGAAATGTGCAATAGGTTTAGTTCTCCTGTTCCCCTTTTCGATGAGTTCAAACTTGTAATCATCCCCTTCTTTAAGTTCATTTGCTTCGCGAAAGTCCTTCCATCCAGCCGTGATGCAAAAATGGGTAGCCCTAAACTTCAATCTAACTGGCCATGACCTTCGTGTTTTGATGGGGCAATTAAGCCATTGACTCATTGGGCATTATTTAAATTGGCCCAGACACCAAATAATATCCACTAAAATCCATATGCACTCATGTGCAAGAGAATATTCCTTTATTCCCTTTTCAGGTCTATAAAAAAGTGTAACGACTCTTCTAATCCACGCACTTGCTTCTCCACGTCATACTTTGCGATCAGCTGAGTCGTCCGCCGAGCTCTCGCCCAAGGCGCAATACTATCGATTCTTCACTCGAATTCGCCAACGCGATCCCACTACAAAATGAACGTGCCAACTTTCTGCTGGAGTTCTTTGATCTTTCTTCTAAACCTGGGAGGGGATAGGGGATAGTCTATATAGATATAAAAGGGGTGAACGCCGAGCTCAATGAGGTCCTCACGATACTACTTGATACTTTTAATAAAATAACTTTGAGAAATCATACGATGGTAAAACCTTTTTATCAAAATATTTTTCGTGCAACAAATCAATCAAACAATCACTTTAATCAATTAACAATAGGGGTGGATACGGAAAATCTAGAATGGCACGTCAAGGGTCGATGTGACACAAGGACATTATTCCAAACCAGATTTTAATGATCAATCAATACTTCGCCGGAAGGAGCGGTCTTACCGACTAACAATAACAATTCACAACTCAATCACCTTACTCTTGTCGCGACCGAGTTCACTCTGTCGAGTTTCCCCTACGATACAGCCATTGACAGCAAAGACTGGTGACTAAGTTCAACGCCGGCTCACGTTCCTTGCTCGCCCAGTGCCTCGGCCCATGCTCCAGGGCAACCGAGATCAGCTGAGCGTGTGTACACATCAACGATTGCATGCACAAAAAATACACTTTTTTTTTCGGGGCGATAAAGAACACCACCGAATACAATACATTTAACAATAACAATAATAACCCTGCCGGTATGATATCACCATCAGAAACATTTTCATTCAATCATTTTATTTCAGCACGATACACTTAACACTTGCAGTCAATCATGTAGCTAGTCAATACTATTCAAACACATAGTCAATTACGATCAAATACAACAATACTTATAACAATTACCCGAGGCGGTAAAGTACACCACCGTCTCATTCAAGATGCTTTTTAATAACAATTAATATCGTTTAGAACGTGTTCATGTGTGCGGTATCTTTAAACATATATAATCCCTGATTCCCAGTTTTTGAAAAGAGTGAGGATTACTCACCTGCATTGTAAGACACTGATGTAGTGAGTTTGCTGTCTTTTCCTGCATGTAACTATATTATGTCACTACACCATTTAGGTAGAGCAGGATTGACACATCTCCTAAATGGTTCCTTTCCTCATTCTATTGGCCGATTTAGTCATAATTGTTGGCTATATTAGTTCCTCAAGTTCACATCTCCAGGGCCATTTTGGCCATATTCTTAGAGAGGGATTCTATCTAGATATTACTTTTTGAAAAGTTCTAATTAAAATAGACAGTGATTATTTGATGACATGTTTTAAGTATTAGAGATTGGGACTTAAAGGTTATGGTCAGTTAATTATACCTAGTTAATTAATTAATTAGTACAACCTTTGTCCCTCTGCCTATGGTTCAACTTTAAAATAAATGTTTATACACGGTTATATAATTTGAAGGGGCTAAAACGCTAGCTACTCAAATCCACGTTTCCTACCTTTTAATTTAGCAATTTTGAGTGGCTATTTGAGATATCCTAATAATTCCGCTAATTAAAGGTCTACTTATGAGTGCAGTTATATGATCAGACTCTTTCATCTAAAAATAATTACGTTGATAGAACAGGGGATCCCATTCGATGATAATCTAGTGTTTATATATTAAAGAATTCGATCAAACTTTTCTACAGCCTTGAGTTCCCTCCCAATTTCTTTTGTTTGAATTCTGCGGATTGCTAACAACTTGCAAATTGAATTTAATAAGTAGAGACGGTTCAAGAAGTAAAGAGGGCAGTAGTAGCTACCTATGTACACCACGACTTCCGACGATCTTCGAAATTGAATATCAATATTTCTTTTGCCCTCCTTGGATTCTGTCCTCACTTCTGTTTTCTTTCTTTTGATTTAGCAACCTCAATAATGTCGAAATGGGTTCTTTGCTAATAGTACAAGCTGAAAAGGTAAAGGGTTTACTGCAATTCGACATGGTGTTGAATAGAAAACAAGGATGATGAGGGTTTGCTTCAATTTGACAAGATGATGGCTCAATAATCTTCAATTGCTATCTCGCCAAGCTCTCTTTAGCTCCTATTCTGTTCCAGTATGGACTTGTTTCTTCTGAAGGTTTGGATTTTGGGACACCAGTACCAGCTTTTTGGAAGAAAGGAAGTTTCGGCAATAATGCCATGATTTTCTTGAGGAGAGAATGAAGAGTAAATGGATTTGTGTAATTCATGTTAATCCAAACTAAAGCTGACTTTAAAAGAACGCAACATTGAGCGGTGACCGACTAAGGGAGGAGTTGGGTTAGCTTTTGTTTCAAGCTTTTTAAAGAAATATAGATGTGTGGTTATTGAAATTTCTAATGCAAGCTTTGAATATTGAAAAACTTGCTTTACTGCTGGATAATTTTAGAAGACTCGATGAGCTTCTTATTTGAAAGAGGTAGTGGATATGATATGAATCTTGAGGCAAAAGTGGCAGATTTACTTCGACGCGGAAGCTATGAATCTCCCAGGACTTGAAAACTTGAAAATCCAATATTATGGACTCCAATACTTACAAAAAAAATAAAAGAAAAGAAGAGATGCAAACCACAAAAATTTACGCCAAAAAGGGATGGAAACGTTTAGAAGATGTAGAAAGTGTTTAATGTTAGCAACCCAATCGGTCACCTCTCTAATAACCATATCCCTTCGATTTATGGATAGAACGGCTAGTGAAAAGGCTCCAATGAACAACTAACAAAGCTCTACAAGTAGAAAAACACCTATTCCACTCGCATGCATCAACAAAGCACAAGCTTGTGTGCAATGCACTAATCTTTGAAAAGAGTAGAAAAAGAACAAAGAGTTTCCTCTCGTCTCATATTGAAATAATTCATCAAAGGTACAAATAAAAGGCTGGCCAAGCACCCCTATTTATAGTAGAGGGGGCCGAAATTCTCCTATGAAGTAGGAGAAGAGTTTGATCTCTAGCTCTATTCCTACTTTAAAGAACTAGAAATCAACTTAATCTCTAATTGACAACTTGTGTCTTATCTATTAAGGCAATGTATCTAGACACCTTAATAGACTTAAGACACACTAGTCTATTGAAAATAAAACTCCAAACACAAAGAGATATTCTCTCAAAATAATCTTATCCTTATCTTGAAAAGAATCTTCCGGAGTTATCAACTCTATCAGTATCTTCTTTGTAGAGTAATCCTAGCCATCCAATCTTGATCTAATCTCCATCCAACGGTTGATAGTAAACACCAAGGAATAGACTTCTTATTTTGAATAAACTCTAAATTAGATAAAAGAGAATCATATCAAATCTTATACTTCCATGTGATAAGATTTAAATGATTTTATCTCTAAAAGATAGGGAATCTTCCAAATCTTATCCTTCCACAAGTGTGATAAGATTTAAATGATTTTATCTCTAAAAGATAGAGATTCCAACTGCTAAAAATTAGGAGATAGGGCCGGCCTCCATTGCTTGGTTTGTGGGCCGAAATTTCCTTCCTCAAATGGGCCTTGTAACATATTAATAATCTTGGGCTTGTAACTTCCAGACTTGACATTCTCTTGGGCTAAACCATTTGATATAAGATTATTAAGTGCATTCCTCATCCTTTTACTTCTAACTTGAGTCATTGGGCCTCCAATGTTGGATAATGGATCTTGAGCCACTCCTTGAGCTTGGATAGTACTTGGAACCCGAACACCTTCATCATCTTGGACTTGATTACTATGGATGTTCACATCATTCCCTCCGTCCTCGAAAGGATTCGACCTCGAATCCAAAGCGTCTACAGCTTCAGCATCTGAGAAATCCAACGGAGATAAATCAGAGACATTAAAAGTTGCACTAACATTATACTCACCAAGAAGGTCAAGTTGATAAGCATTGTTGTTCAAATGCTTGATAACTTGGAATGGACCAGCTCCACGAGGATCTAACTTCGATTTAACCTTTGTAGGAAATCGAATTTTCGTTAAATGAACCCAAACCCAATCACTAGTTTCGAATATCATTTCCTTACGCCCCTTGTTGGCAATTCGCGCAACATGCTCATTACTCTTCACAATATTCATGTGTACTTTCTCATGAAGAGAACGTACATACTCAGCTTTCTTGGCTCCATCTTTGTCAAGGAGTTCCTCGACTTGACGTCTCAGTTCCTTGGTCTCCTCGAGGTTCGCCTTGTATACAGGACAATTAGGAATTACTGATCCTGGGATAAAATCAATTTGATGCTCAATTCCCCTCAAAGGTGGAAGTCCCTTTGGCAATTCTTCTGGAAAAACATCCTCATAATCCTGCAGAACAGTTTTAACAACACTAGGAATATTTTCAATGGGGTTAGTGTTAGTTAAACATAAATCCTTGTAAACAATTAAAACAAGTGGAGTGCGAGTATTTAGAGCCCTCCCAAGGTCTCCCATAGAAGCATAAAAGCTGCCTTTTCTCTCCCCAGCTTTTGGCTTTTCTTTCAAACTCTCACTCACTTTTGATTCTCTCCCATTCCCCAAACTCTCTTTTGACTCTTTTGACTCGCTTTTATGTCTTTTCTCTCTCTCTCTCTATTTGCATTTTTTTATGATATTCCATGATATCCATTGGGGATAACAGACACAATACAATAGAGAAACCCTTATGCACAAGTGAATACTGATTTGTCTTTCCATCTTCGTTAGCATGTCGATGAAACTCCCATGGACGTCCCAAGAATATATGACATGCTTGCATTGGAACAACATCACGAGGAACTTCATCCTGGAACGTTTTAAAACATAAGAGTAAGTGAGCTTGCGACCGTACCTTAATTTCTCCACGATCATCCAACCATCGCAACTTGTAAG